AAGACGCCAGAAGAGCAACGTCCCAAATGGGCCGAGGTGGGCTGGGCCCATTTTTCTCCTTTTTAATATTAATTAAACATAAAAAAAGACAATAAATGTAAATCTCGTGGGAAAGATCGTGAAACTTCTGTAAGACGCCAGAAGAGCAACGTCCCAAATGGGCCGAGGTGGGCTGGGCCCATTTTCTCCTTTTTAATACTAATTAAACATAAAAAATAGATAATTAAATTGCTATGATCCCACCCACCTTCGCATTATGCCAACAAACAGTTGAGAGACTTAGACTAATGCATTAGGTTTAGATTCCCCATTAAGAAATGATAGAAAAAACAAAAAACATCAATAGAAAATTAATGTGTAGGTTTTTGTATTCATCCTTATGAAACTTATCATACAATAATTGATATGATGTTGAATTAACATTAGTGTCCGATTGCCGGCTTAATTTTCTTTATCGATATAATAAAAACAATTTTTTGCTTTTATAAAAAATTGAATTTGATATTTAATGGAAATGATTAACAAGAGCGACAAATTAGAGGGGTCCAGAGGGGCAAACTCGGCATTTCCTAAACTTTGAAACAGTACCTTCGTATAATCACCGTATATAGATATATATATATATATAGGGATTCTACGGCCGGAGGCGTGTCAGAGCGAGAGAGAGACAGAGCGAGAGAGAGAGTGCATATTAGGAGCGATTGGGGGCGCTTCGCCTTCTGATTCCATCCCTCCATTTGCATTTGCTTTGTGTGTCTCTTGGATCCTTCGATTCAGATCTTCATCGGCCCCTTGTGGATTTCTACCGTGATCTTGTTGTGCATAAAAAGGTAAGAATTCGACCAGGTTGTGGCCTTTTTGCCGTCCTTTGCTTCGATTTCGTCTTTGGATTCTCATACTATAGCCGGCCACGAGATTTCTCTGTTTCGGCATCCCGATGCGGGAAAATTAAAGAAGAAAAAAAGGCAATTTTGATGCTGTTCAATCTGTAAAGAACGCATTTTTGTTGGGTTTTTTTGTACAGATGGGTTTTCTTTATCATTGATTTGAGTTCCATTTTTTTCCTCGGTTAAACACGTTGTTATCGTCACAGATTTGTAGGCTAATGGCGAACAAGAAATTTTCGGTACTCGAATTGTTGGATCCACATATGTTTGTTTGGAGATTTGTTTTTGTGATGGTTTTTTCTTTCTTCTTGCGTCTATTATTGCAGTCTTGCATTGCTGTTCTAATTTCTTTTCTTTTGATTTTGTGAGAAATTAGCTTCGTTTCTTTTAATTATTATTTTGATATCGTTCATTCTTCTATTGATTTTTTTATTGTATGATAAACAAATCTGTAAAATGTTTCTCACTGCTTTTTCCTGTTGATTAAAACATTTTATTTCGAATCAGACGTATTCCCTCTCTCTCTCCCTCTCTCTTTCTTCTTCTCAATCTAAAAAAGGAATAAAAAGTCGATCTTGGAATTAATAGCAGATGAGATGGTGAATCATATCTTTTTCTTTCTTTGAGGATAACAAACTTTCTTATTTGCTAGTATTGTCTTCTTCTCTAGTATGGAGTTGAGTAACCATTAGTGCAAGTATGCTGCCATTTTCATTTTTTTTGCTTGCATTACTATTAAAAAAGGCTCTTGTTTGTCATTAGTCTCGTTTTTTTTAAACGTTTCTTTTACTGAACCTGAAATAATTTCTTTCTAGATTAGAATTATTAAAAATAATTTTTATTCTTTTTTTATATTTTAAGGGGGTTGTTTAGTCTCTTTCTTAATATAAAGAAAAAGAAATACTAAGAAGGAGAAGAGGAGGAGACAGAAGAAGAGGATATTTATGTTCATTTGTAAAGGAGTAGTTTAGAATTATTAAAATTTTTTAAAGTGAGATTATAAATAGTAAAAAAGGGTTGTAAAGAGTAGTCGCCTAACTTTTAATTCTTTCCATTACTATTACAATGTCTAATCATTAGTGCAAATATACTGCCATTTTTTCTTTCCATTCCTATTAAAAAGGCTCTTGTTTGTCATCAGTCTTTCTTTGTTTAGATTCTTTGCTCTAATTTAGAGTGACTGTTTTATGTTTTTTTGCTTTATTTTAAAGTTAAACCTCCATTATTATATCATTCCCACATTTTTTTTTCTTCGAAAAACTCTTATTTATTCATTTCTTTTGTAGTCTCCTGCTGAAAACTGGAAGACAAATATCAGGGAATGCTGAAAGATGTGCTTGAACACGAGGAGATCTTCATCTGTAAATTTTAATGTCACTTCAGCCAAGCTGCCCTTGTTCATCCTTGATGATATTGGAGAGCACAATGACATCCACTCTGTGCTTTATGCACATTGTTTCGATGGAGCTAGATATATTCCAAAAGCTGTCGTATTAGACCACGATCTTGGGGACGACGGTTGATATCAACCACACTGAAGATACCACTCCTAAAAGAAACAATACACACTAGTGGGATTGCTTTTTAGAATTTTTCATATAATGGAGACAGAAAATAAAGGGAATGTGTTATTGCAGAAGTATGAGGTTGGTAGATTACTAGGGAAGGGAACTTTTGCCAAGGTTTACTATGCTAGGAATATAAGAACTTCCCAGAGTGTTGCTATGAAGGTGATTGACAAAGAGAAGGTGTTGAAGGTTGGGCTTATTGATCAGATCAAACGAGAGATATCAGTGACGAGGCTGGTGAGACACCCAAACATTGTGGAGCTTTATGAGGTCATGGCCACTAGATCCAAAATATATTTTGTCCTGGAATATGTGAAGGGTGGTGAGCTGTTTAACAAAGTTGCTCAAGGCAGGCTCAAAGAAGATGTTGCTCGAAAATATTTTCAGCAGCTGATTAATGCCGTGGACTTCTGTCATAGCCGGGGTGTCTATCACCGTGATTTGAAACCCGAAAACCTTCTGCTTGATGATAATGGAAATCTGAAGATTTCAGATTTTGGGTTGAGTGCTCTTGCTGAATCTAAGAGACAAGATGGCTTACTCCACACCACTTGTGGCACCCCGGCATATGTTGCTCCTGAGGTGCTTTGTAGAAAAGGATATGATGGTGCCAAAGCCGACATATGGTCTTGTGGGGTGATTTTGTTTGTTCTTATGGCTGGTTATCTCCCATTCCATGATCCAAATCTAATAGAAATGTATAGGAAAATTGGAAAAGCAGAATTCAGGTGTCCCAATTGGTTCCCCTTGGATGTTAGGAAGTTGCTTTCACGCATTCTTGACCCAAATCCTACTTCCAGGATCTCAATTGCAAAGATTATGGGAAATCCTTGGTTTAGAAAGGGACTCGATGGAGGATTAATAAGAAATGGCAAAGGAACACAAGAAATTGATCAATCCGATACCAATGACGATATTAGTTCCCCCGGTACCAATGTGTCCGAGGAGAGGCGAGAGATGGGGAAACTCGCTAACTTAAATGCTTTTGACATCATCTCTCTTTCAGCTGGATTTAATCTTTCTGGTCTGTTCGAGGAGACCGACCACAAGAGAGAAGCAAGATTCATATCTTGTCAGCCGGCTTCTACGATTATCTCAAAGTTGGAGGATGTTGCAAAGTTTTTGAAGTTAAAAGTGAAGAAGAAGGATCATGGGGTGTTGAAAATGGAAGGAACGACGCAAGGGAGAAAGGGGGTTTTGGCAATTGATGCAGAAATCTTCGAGGTTACGCCAGCGTTTCATATGGTCGAGATAAAAAAGACAAATGGAGATACCCTGGAATACCAGAAAACGTGGAAACGGGACATCAGACCAGCCCTTAAGGACATTGTCTGGGCATGGCATGGGGAGCAGCAGCAGTCTTAACCTTGATGCTAAAGTTGCAACATTCTGATGCAGGAAGCAGATATGTGTTTCGTGCTTAAGTAATCCCCCCCATATTCTAGATACTCGGTATTTCTATCTTTGTTGTCTATATGTTGCTATGCTGTTTTCTGAAACTATGAAACTTGTTTAAACTAGTGCTTTGCTGCCGTTGTGTGTAATCCTCAATTGACTTGTTCGAATATTATTATACATGCTTTGCTGAACCATTTGTGCAATGCTTTTGTGACTGCTGACATAAGCTTATTGCTGTAGGATTATTGACTGCAAGCTTATTGTCTGAGGCCTCATATGGCTGGCTGTTCTCGTTTTCAGTTTAAACCTAGAGGTTTGGCATATTTTTCTGTGAATGTAGCATGCAAGGGTCTCGATGGATTTGTAATCTCCAGGTATTTTATATGCTTGGTATTGTATCTGTTTATATGTCACTATGCTGCCTTGTAAGTATAAAACTTGTCCAAACTAGTGCTTTGCTGCCCTGTGTGTGTTACTTTCATTGACTTTTTTGAATATTACATTCATGCTTTGCTGAACTATTTCTGTAATGTTTTTGTGAGCTAGCTAAGTGTCACAGCAAGAAACATGGTCTAATGGTAGTAGTGATGCTTGCAGGCATAAAACACATTGATGTGATGACTGCAATTTTTTCGTTTAGTGCTCATATGGCTATGCCGCTTTCATGTTCAATATAATCTAAGAGGGTTGGGTAACGTATAACATATTTTTTCTTCTGGAAATCTATATTGAAATTTGTAATTCCTTCGGTGAACCGTAACATTGTTTCTCCGTGTCATGACTGTTGCTTATAGCTAGCTGTTCTTTCTTCTTAACTTGGAACTCCGAGTGTTGGTTATATTTTGTAGTTCTGCCCAAGGATTACTATTTCTGGACATCTTGTACATGTGCATATACCTTTCTGATACAACTTGATTCTGTAGCATGCCTGAGGCACAAGTTATTAATCAGCTTAATCATATACATCCACTTTCTAGGCTGCAGTTGACTTAGCATATATGTGTACCTTGTTGGCATGGGTAATTGTCAACCTGTGTCCTATTGATTGGATCCAATTGATATGGTGTGCCTTTCTGGCACCATACTTAGTGCATGTCAATATTTATGTGCTGATTGGTACAAAGTCCACAATGTTGTAAACTTAGATAAACAAAATGGGTTAATTTTGTAAATAGTTTTATTCTTTTTTTACTTTATTATACATACATAATGGACTATGATCCTATATGCAAAAAATCAAATGTTTCCCTTAGATGGTGGAGGATCACAATGTGTTGTTTGGTACCAATCAGTGATGTTTAAATACTTTGTTATGGTCTATGAACATGATTAGGTCAGATACCCATTGGTACCTACTATCACCAAGACTGCTTCATCTTCCTAGGTACTTGCTATTATAGTCTATGAACATGATTAGGTCAGATACCCATTAGTACCTACCACCACCAAGACTGCTTCATCTTCCCAATGAAGTTCTTAATTCCCATTAGTACCTACTACCACCAAGACTGCATCTTCCTACTTAAGTTCTTAATTCTAAATGAGGTCTTTCAGCTAAAAGAAGCAATGTTGTTACTTTTTCAGTTTAGCTGATCAGAGTTCTAATCATCTATTTTTCCTTTTGTCTAAAAGAGAATGATTGAGACTTGGAAAAGATAGATTTTGGATTGGAGACAAATGATACTAATGCAAACCAAATCAGCATTATCCCACAGCTGCAAAACATTATTTTTCATTAAACTAATCCTTCAACAACAATTTAGAATATTCCTTTCAGAGAACAGATATTGCTAACTATTGCAGGATGTGGAACACTAAAATTGCACAGTAGACATATAACAAGATGAAGTGAAGAATGAGGCAGACATGTGAACACTAGAATAATACTGAGATATTTAAGAATCACAGAGCCATAAGATGTCAAGTATTTACTATTACAAGGCCAGGTTGACTAGGTAATGTACAATACCGATATGCTTATGCACAAATGACAAGCTTGAGGCAGATGTTTTCTATTTACAGCAGTGGAGAGTAAAAGATTATTGCGACATAAGTTCAACAATTATGCTCATGTGCAGAGCGCAGAAATCTCTTAGGCTTCTTTTTACCTTCATAGCTCAAGCATCAGCAAGCATGGATGCAGTGAGATCTTCTTGACTATCCTTGCATGCGTGGATTGCGGTGCAGACATCATTCGTCTCGAGAAAATTCTCAGCGTTGGCGAGGATTAGTGGGCCATATTGGAAGACCAGTTTCTTACACTGCATAAAGAGAAGAATTGAATGACAAGCCCAATCACTCGTCTTGGGTAATTCACATTTGATCGTAAGAGGAGGCAATCCATCACGTCTTTGAGTTTGAGAAGCAAACACAAGATGATTCTAAAACCATGAAGCGAATATAACATGGAGAAAAGCTCACCTTTTGGGCAAAATTCTCCATTTTGCTGCAGCCTTTCAGAAGTGTCTCGAGCACCTCAAGCTGGAAAATATCCACAGGTAGATTTGATTAGTATTCCGCAGGTGAAAAATCATACTTCAAGACATGAACAAGACACATTTAAAGGATATGGTGAGCTTATCGGTCTTATGATGTGGAACAACAACTATACAGAAAACAGCATAGATGAAATAAACATGTAACCTAATTTACACAAAGATTACAAGAAGCTCAATAACAAGAATGAATTTTTGTATCACTTATAATAAAGCATTATCGTCACAGAAAAGCAACCTAAACATTGGCTTAAGTACTAAACATTATGTTGAAGTACCACAATAAAGTTTGCAAGAGCCAAAATCACTCAGTGATAGGCATTGAAGAGAAAGTTAACAGTATAAATTGTACTGCCAGAAACACACAAGACGGTCATAATCCATAAACGTGCCCAATAATTCATTTCATTTCATATATGATTTTGTTGTCAAAACTATAGCCTTATAACGAAATTCTCATTGAAAAAATTAGTGGGAGGAGTAGCTATCCGAAATTTCTATGAGAAAGAAAAGTCAACCTTGACTAGATCTTTGGATCGTAATTATTACCTTCCTCATTTAGTCATCCATATTGATTTGCATTCAGATAAAATGAAATTTTACAGGAAATAATGAATGGACTATTTAAAGAACAGCTGACTTATATTTTGTGCGAAATAAAAGGCACCATTTGGAAGGAATGATCCTCACATTGATGGCCAATCTTATATAAACAACAATCACACAGTATACCAAATGTGGAGCCTTAAAGCTGATGCAAACAATTAGGAGAATGTTTGCTGGGTAGATTAGGATATGCATCTAATTGAAAATAATTACAACTAATCACCGCAATAAAATTGCACAGAATAGCCTATATTAATGTATAAAGAGCATTTCTAGTGTATCTATAAATTTCTGCAAATTATTGATTCTTGCCAAATGATAATATAATATGGCATGTTATATGATAACTATGGATAATCAAGTCATTACAGGCATGAAGCAGAATTTATTAATCCTCAAAGATTGCATTAAATGGCATTGATCTGACGTACCAACAATATATTGATGATGCTACTGTTATGGAACTACGGTTTTAAGATATGAGAAAATTTTGTTCTGTGATTAAGATGATAGTAGATAGCACCAAAAACATGTCCTAACTAGGAAGAGAAGCATCTGAAGCATTATAAACAGGGACCTGGTATTTCACCGGAGATTTTTTTTCCAGTATTGCAAAGGAGTTACTACCTCTGTGTCAGGATCTTTCAGTTTGACAAGAACCTCTACAACAACATTATGGCAGAGGTTGCAGGCATCATCGCGCTTTGGCAATTGCATCACTACAGTCTCCCCACAGAGATTCACCTTTTCACAGAACTGCTCTGGACTTACTGTGGAAACCTCCAAGAAAAACATTGGTGCATAGTAATCTACCAATGTAATACACTGACAAGAAAAAAATTGTTCCAGAGAACAAAGAATTAGAATTCACAATATGTATATTAAAAATTTTAATCAGAACTAGATGTTCTCCACACAAAAAAAAAGGCAAGCATACCTGTTGTTTGAAAGAATGCAGTGTGGAACATGCTTTGTGAAGTGTACTGATAACCTGAGTCTGAGTCTCATTTTCACCAAGATAGTATAAAGCCTTGGAAGTGAAGTCTTCACAGAGTGTGCACAATTTTTCATTCTTTATGATGCTACTTTCACTTTGTATCTTGTTATCCACTTCCACAACTAAAACATGAGCATGAAACTAATCAAGTATGCAAAAACTTTCCTAATTCATATGATTGATAAAACACAGTTCCAGTATGACCACATAATTTTGGAATTGATACATACAATCCAGTATCTCTTTTGTATTTTACCTCTTGATGAAGTCTGATTATGATTGATAAGTTACACTTATGTCTGAAGGTTCTAAAACAGATTGGATACAGATCAGTTATTGAAAAAACCATGTGTAGTTACACTTATATATGGATACTGGGAATGTCATGCAACCATATTTGTTTATAAAGGATATGAATATGGATTCAAATAGGTTCTAAAGCAGATATAGATGTGAATAGTACATCTATATCTGCCACCATTATTTTTCTCAACCTTTATGATTAATTAATCAGTTTTTGTTAAAATAGATACTTGTAGAAAATGACCATGCATAGAAGCTAAATAAGAAAATTCCTGATTTCCTTATATTTGATTATTCAGAAAAAAAGGTCACATTTGCAACTAAAGAGGCTGCCTTCATTGAAGCCAAAAAATAGCCTCCCTTCTAATTGATAGGACACATGAATACACATGCAAATATTATGAAGTTATACCTCGAGGAAATTATATAGCAAGACAGTTTTTTTTAAGGAAATGGAAGAGAAAGAAAAAGGTAGATCAGATGCTTCTGAAACTAAATAGCGAAGTCTAAAAGGTGAAAATATGAATTTGGAACTTGAGTGAAAATGATGCATACACAATGGGATATTTCCATATTGATAACTAATTTAATTAAATGTGTAACGAAAAAGTTTTTTGGAGAGTTTAAAAAGTCATCCATGCCTTCGATATAGAGTTGGTGGTGCTAAAAGAGAGAAATACCATGGAACGTAGTGTAAAATAGTAATGATGAAGAATTTGGGAAAAAATACATCAAAAGATAACAGATTAAAAAGGATGTTCATGAGCCAAATACAAAGCTATATGATAGTTCTCAAGCAATTCTATTGGTTAAGATGAAAAATCAATTATAGACTTGATAAACTAAAGGAAATGAACAAGATATGTAGACACTGGTAATCGCATTAAAAAACAAATATTAACGGGTTCTTGCAGAAGATATCTGGCAGGTACATAGTATTTTCAAATTAAAAGGTCCAACAAAAGTGTCCCTTTTGATTATCTAGTTACAATGCTTGCATGCTAGTAGTGAAAAAAAAATAAAATTGTATAGGGGATTTGAGATAGTTCGAAGGAATGGCCAGTGTTTGCAATACAAAAAATTATAACCACAATCATGTAATACCTATTTTAAAATTTTTATAAATTACATATTTTATAAAATAAATGATTTAACACTTCTTAAACGCACAACACATAAGGTTACAAGTTTAACTCAGGTGCAACTTCTATGTAAATCTCTCATTTGTCATTCAATTGAACTCAAGTTCTTATTGAAATAAATAGTTAACAAAATTCCTTGGACAATGTGCATGATTTGAACGTCCAGTAAATAAGTATACAAGTATACACTAACAATTTTGCACACATGAAGTAATGTTCCAACAAAAGGATTATCATTTCATGGCATACGAATATGTCAATATCTTTGGCATGGTATGATATCATGTATTCGCATGCCCCTGTGTCAGTCGGCACAACATATTTATTGGATTATGTGTCAACGCCTCCAACACTTGTTCACATGGCATGTGCCAATAACATTTTTGTATAGTACATTGCAACCTACCTGACTTAGGTTGACCAATAGGACAGTCCTTTTCCCACAGTAAAAGAGACGAGAACAAAAATAGTCAAGTTAATAAAATTTGAGCAATCAAACATGTCATATTAGATTCTAATCGATGCCTTTATATTGTGTTCTACATAGTCGAGATTTACTGTGTCATGGTTTTACTAAATTACATGAAATTATGAGCTGGAGAAGTAACACAGATCACTTGATATTGTGCACACTAGCCGAAAGAGGTCCCTCGTTAGAGTACAATGGCATGAATGAAGCAGTTTGAAAACAAAATTACCAAGACAATCCACATCAAAAAACTCACCAAAGGCATCCAAGGTAGCCAGACTTCTGGCATTTGCTGGAATAAAGCTGATTACCAGCATAAGAAGTGAAAAGCTTAATCTTGAATCCATAGTTACCTGTTACATAAGCAAAATATTGGTTTATTTCTCAGTATTCAACCATTGATTAAAATATATTGTCTATATGCCTACTACCATGGATATATATTTATCAATCATTCAAATATGCTGATTTCCGTAAAAGTTCCATCTCCTTGGCTTCAACGTGAATATTTGGCAAGAATATGCATAGACATTCTCATAAAGAAAAATGGTTAAAGAAATAGAATAGACTGCAGAGATGCGCTTAGCATCACTAGGAAAAAAAAATAAAAGACCAACAAGCTAAATCATGGTCAAAACTTAACCATGTTTAGAAAAGATATGCTTTTAAGTTTGGTAAAACAGGTCTCAGAAAAAGAAAATTAGTATTTTTTTTTAACCTAGCATGAAATGTTGATGATGTGGGATTTGATATTACAGTAATGTTGTTCCTTTGAGACCTAGGAAATCAGGTTCAAGCTTTGGAAACTACCTTTCTCAACATAGAGGTAAGACAGCATGCATTGACCCTCTCAAAATCTAGCATTGGAAGGAGTCTCGTGCACTGAGTTCTCCCTTTTAGCATGAAATCTTGATATAGTATCATTTACAAAGTCCCCAGGCTAAGATATGTGACATGCAAATTATCTTGATTATGAAGGTAAAGACTTTGAGTTGTGAAAATTTTTAGATCATTATCTGTCATAAATTTGACAACTTTGCATTAGAATTACCAAACCCATGCAAAATAACAATCACCAGCGCATAAGCTTGTAGCTACTACAAGTACCAAAATTCTAAGACTTCGATGATCTTGCTTATCGGATTCCCAATTTAATATCCCAATCACAAGATCAAACACAAAAAATTTCTCCAGCTTCGCTTAACATCTAGAGACCAAAATACCACTTCACCAATTCCTTGTCGAGTGTTCTGCCAAGATTAATGGGACTAAAGCTATGTTGATACACCATCAGAGGAAACTGAAATCAAAGTCTCTGTGGTTCTTGCAGATTAAAATTTAGATGACTAGCTATCGTAAATTTGGAAACTTTGCATTAGAATTACCAAACCCGTGAAACAGAACAATCATCAGAGTATAGAAGAAGGCTCATGTTCCACAAAACTAAAACTTGTAGCTACTACCAGTACCAAATATCCAAAAGTTCGATGATCTTGCTTATCGAATTCCCTATTGAACATCCAAATCTCAAGACCAAACACGAAAAACTCTAGCTTTACGTAACATCTCGAGCCCAAGATTCCACTCCACCAATCCCTAGTTGAGTGCTCTTCCAAGACAAAAAAACATTGAACGGGATGAAAACTCTGGAGCCGGTCAAGAATTAATGTTCAGATCTTAACCTTGTGCAAGAATCAAAATACCCCTCATCAGATATGGATCTCAGTTCAAGGTCTCTCCAAAGGGGCAATAAATTCCTCGAAATTTAATCTGTCTAGAGAACCTGAATAGGCAATCATACGAGATGCCGAAAGATGAGATCGGAGATGGATCAAGAACAAGATGAGGAGGTAAGCATCAGATCGAGAGTACCTGATATTTTACTGGAAGGTAGAGGTGGAACGATCTCTCCTTTCCCTCACTGGACCTGTCCAATGGCGACTGGAAGTTGGGTCGACTATCACGCTTAATAGGAGAGGGAAGGAGATGAGAGAATAGGAGACGACGACGCTATTGGCTGATGTCTATTCACCCTTCAGTGTCTCCATCTTTTATTGGCGTTTGGAAGAAGAAAGCGTGACGTGTTTGGGAAGAGCAATCATGGGATGCCTGGCGGACTTATAAGAGGAATAAATTATTTTTCCTGTCCTGAAGAGCTACCCAGCAACGTCATTGGCTGGACCCGCAAGGTGGGCCCTCGTCGTTCGCTCTGAGGGTTGACGGGTAGGAGACGTATGATGGGCTACTAATAAAAATACAAAAAAAAAAGAAAACGTCGACAGCAGGGTTCGAACCTGCGCGGGCGAAGCCCAACAGATTTCAAGTCTGTCTCCTTAACCACTCGGACATATCGACGATGATGTCAAACTTGTCGAACTAATATATTTAATATATAATATTTTACTTTCTTTTCATTAATACTTAATTTATTTAATACTAAATAAATAAAATATGATTCAATAATTCTTAGACTGATTTTAAAAATTTTGATCCTAATTTTTTTATAAATAATAAGTGATGAGTATAATATTTGATCATATTATTTTTCACTACCCTCTATTTTGGTATGAATGCTTATTTTTCACTTATGGGTTTTTTTTTATCAAATTAAAAAAAATTTTATAAGATTTTATTTCGTTTGATTTGGATGAGCTATCGAAGCCTTGGTTTGGTTCTCTTGTGGGTAGACTCTTATGGAGGCTATCTTTTTTGGACGCTATTTCTTTCCTCTCCCCCCTTGGTCAAATCTATTAGATCGATCTTTTATAAGATAGTGATTTATTATTATGATTGAATTCCAAATATAATCACGGAGGGCACTTCTGATGAGATTCGTAATATCTTAATGTAGTGGTATAAATCAATGGCTCAAATTTAATTTAGATAAAATGTTTTAATAGCAAGAACAGGTAAACGGTTTAAGATTTTTATTTATGACTCTATTGGGTCCTATTTATTTATAAGAGGTGTTGTTGCTCGAGCAAATCTAACTATCATAATAAGTTGACAACAATTCTGAAGGGTCGTCACTTGGCTACAACAAGTGACATCCAAAGGATCGAGGTAGAATCCGATGCTAACATGGTGATATACATTCAAAGAGTCGAGATTTGTAATATCTTAATGCAGTGGTCTAAATCAATGGTTCAAACTTAATTCAAATAAATTTTTTTAATAGCGAGAATAGGTAAACGGTTTAAGATTTCTATTTATGAATATATTACATCCTATTTATTTATAGGAGGTGTTGTTACCCGAGCAAATCTAACTACCATGATAAATTGACAACAATTCTGAAGGATCGTCACTTGGCTACAACAAGTGACATCCAAAGGGTCAAGATAGAATTCGATGTGATACACATTCTATAACAGAATCACCTTCCACCTTAGTATTTGAAGAATCTGATTAATAACATATGGACAATTATCCCATATTTTCTTAAACTAAATTCAAGATAACTATTTTTAAGAGAAGGTAATATGTTATATTTTAATTTAATTTAAGTTTTTATCTTTTGATTAACAAATAATCAAATAATCTTGATATGATACAATGGATTATTATCTTAAATATAAATTTATTGGATGAAATTTCGGAAGTCTTAAATAGACTATTTATTAGATCCATATAAACGAGCAGCCTTCGGTGGGTGGATGATCCATTCGAACCTGCGATCGCAGGGCTCTCTTGTCCGCGCTACCTTCCCCTATGGTCGGGTGGAAACACGCTCCATCTCAAGTAGTCGGGTCAAAAAAGGCAAGCTCGCGATCCTTCTCGGTGTGCCCGCTGCGCTGCCCTCGCACTCTTCCGACCTCGACTTCTGCTCTTTCCCTCGCCCCAGACGCTCCATGGAGACCGCCTCCTTCTTCCCGGTGGATCCGCAGATCCCCATCGACTTCAAGATCCGCAAATCCCTCACCGGCCACGGGTTAACCGTCCGCGACGCCCAGGGCAGCCTCGCCTACCGGATCTGCGCCCCCCGGCGCCTCCGCTGCTCCTCTTCCTCCGCCCCCAATCCTCGCCTCACCAAGACCCTCTTCGACGCCGCCGGCAATCCCTTGATCAGCGTCGTCTATCACAACGTTAGCTCTTCCATCCTCTCCTTCACACCGCGTTCAAATATCATCTTTTTAGTATTATTTTTTGGTCGTACCCGGTAAAGCATCAATAGCTAATTCTCGTTGGACTAGTTCGTGCTCGTGAATTCAAGAGCTTGGCCACTAGCCGTGGTTGCAACTTCTTTCTGATACTTTGTTCTTCCTTTATTTACCAGCTTCAAAATCTAAGGATCGCGTTAGGTTATTCCTTAGGGCGAATTGTGGTCTTGACAATAAATGACCAAATTTGCAGATTAAGTCGTCAAGATTCCGTAACTTGGATGTTCTTGTGACTCGATTATTCATGCTGATACGATAGAGAGGCGGACTTGTACAAGTAGCTTTGATCCTTGTAATTTATGGATATCCATTTTGTTTCTTAATATAGCTTAGCTTTTACTTTGAAGTTTCACGGTTGTTCTGAAGTACATAATCTTGTAGGATGAGTGGCACGGCTACAGAGGGAACAGCCAGGAACTGAAGGATTTGATTTTTACAGTGAGAAAGATATTATACTCTCCATTTGAAACTGAGCTACACGTGTTCTTATCAAGCACGAATATAGGTGACCAAAAACCATGTTTTAGACTCAAAGGCAACCCTTTTCGAAGAGCATGCACCATAATAAGTGGGAATTCGACTGTGGCTCAGGTAATAATCAATTTTGCTCCATTATTTGCTCGACTTTAAGGGCATATTATGTCACTGGTGTAATTTTTGTTAATATTCTTCGACATCATTATGATTCAGGAATAAGTGCTAAGTTTGCAGGGGTTCTGTGATGAATCCTATTCTTCTTTTATTTTCTTCATTTCCGTTTTTTAGGGTATGGTGGTGGGTCATAATTTCTTGTTAGCATATTTCAAGGATGGTATGACCAGTTGGAGGAAAGTTATGTGGTCTTAGTTTATTTGATATCCTGAATCTTTCTTTGTCTGGTGAGTGATGGAGAATGATGAATGCAGAACATAAGTTAGTTGTAAGCAGAAAAATGGTTCAGAAGGTCTTTGTGTGCTTTACATTGGGATAATCATTGTGGATTTCTCCTTGTTGGTAGGAGATGATGAGATTTGTTGATCTGTACAAATGTAGTTTCGAATGAGCTAATTGTAACTGCTGAATTGCAAGTGTCCAGTTCTCTGAGAAATTGCTTTGGGGGGAAAATACAATAGTAGTAGACGTTCTGAAGAACATTAGATAATCATCTGATGCAGGAGGAAAAAATGGTTGATGAACTGGATCAGTCCCATTCTGGATGTAAAATGATAAAAAGTGGTGATCAACTAACATGGAAATATTTACATTGTCCTTATATAGATTTCTCGATAATGGAGGGCTTTTGACTCTTTTTGTCTCTTTCTAGTGAAAGGAACAGCATCCATTCCATTAAAGCCCTTTTCTTGGCTTGAGAACTTTAAATTTTTATAATGGACAATCTTGTCTAGAGAAGATAGTTTAGGTGAATTATTTTTGCATTTTCTACTCTAGTGAATAGTATTCAGCAATTAGTTTATACGACATTCCACCGCAGAGAAGATTTAGATTTAGTTAGAAGTGTGCTGTTAGAAGTTGAAGCAAGACAAAAATTTCAAAAATCTTTGTGGCTGGGATGTGAAACAGGAGAACAAGGAAAAAAGATAAATTTTTGTGAGATGATTTACTGGCATCTTACATGTGGACATCATGTAAAGAAGGAACTAAGACAGTTTTCCTTCTTGATATTTTGTTGTCAAGTCTTTTGTTGATTCTGGATTTCAGGAGTGCACTACCAAAGATGTTGGTTCTGTTTTTAGATCAAGAAACGGCAAAGTTTAATGTATTTTTTCCTTGTGACAGTGCTGTGGACCCTTTGCATGTTAAGATGAAGGTAAAGAAGCTTAAAGACGACAAAATTTTAGTATATATCTCTTGTTTTATTACTTCCTTTGTTTTGGTTACCTAGGTTCTGTTTGGTACACAATTGGCTCGGTACAGGAGGATATTTTTCATTTTATAAATAATTTTCTTTTCTATGTCAGCATCTATGAGCGAAAACTCGTTTCTAGTTTACTTTCTGTTAATGAATACTCCATAGATGTCTTTGTTCCACATTTTTCAAGCCATGAGTGCAATCAGTTCATCTTTTTGGAGTTGTTCTTTCAAGCTAGTTTTAGGTCTATTTTTAAACAGGCCAAGCTGCCATTGCAGCAGATCTAGTTTCTATTGTCTTTTGGTTAATTGGATCTCATATTATGGGTCATTGAACCAGTTAAGTCTGTCAGATTTGTGTGAAATAATATCTTTTTTGGCTGCAGACAAGTCTCTTGTACAAACTGAGGAAGATTATTTATTCAAGGCATAAGTTTCGACTTACTGTTTATCCTGGAAACGATTGTGTTCTTGTCATCGCGATGCTCATGGCTTTCTTTTGGAAGTAACCTGCTAACGGAGGGCTAAACGTTGGTGATGCAGTTGTAAGGAGTTCTCATTCCTCCACAAGTAATCTCCTGAGCCAGGTTGATTGGGCAATTCATTGATTTTTCTCATGAATGATGTCTTATCACTGGACTGCAAATTGTTACTGGGGGCATTTTGAATGTACTGTAAATAGTTCCATTATCACATCGAGTAAAGATTTATCCATTTAACCTTGGCCTTCCCAGTTTGTTATGTCCGTGCACTAGATAAGAGGCCCAAGGACATTATTTGCTGTGAAGAAATTGGACGGTAATCAATACAAGATTCGGTTTATGTTTTGCCTGGGTGCTTTACCTATTTCTGAATCCTGCTCTAGACAAGGTGTACTCCAGTCGACAAGTGCAGACCTGAAACACACCAATTCCTTCCGGATGAACGAAGGCAAAAATCTGTTGCTTGATAAGCAATACATAAAAAAATCTGTTTCTTGATAAGCGATGTGTTGAAGTTGTTGGATGTTTTCTCAGGAGGCAAAAACTCATGTTCTTGCTAAGAGCTTATTTGTGATGTGAAATCTATGGAACTTTATGGTTCTGAAAGTTTTAGAAGCAGGTCTTTGTAAAATATGGATCCAATGAATTAAACCTGCTATAGGGTGGATTAAGTTGAATGATGATGAGACTTATGATGATCAGGTCTAAAAAGGGTGGTGTTGGTTTCTATTGTCTGATAGTAATGATGTATGTCTACTGACAAACTGCAGGATTTTCTTGGAAGAGAGGAGTAGATACAATGGGCTAATGGCCATTTGATGGGATCAAGCCAGCTATCACAGAGGGCATTCAATGCCTTGAAATTGAATCTGATGATGCTGACTTGGTGCAAGTTTTGAACAGGGAGGAACCAGCCCCATGGTGTCTGACTAACAGTTTTAGAAACCTTATTTGTTGGCTAAACAAGTTTCAATATGTAAAGATTCTTCATATTTATAAGGAATGCAATAGATGTGGGCATTGCCTAGCTGCCTATAAATTTTGTTTCTGATCAGGTCTGGGGGGCCTTCAGATTTTGAAGTAATATATCTTATTTTTTTTTTTTGAAAAAAAATAATCTGCCATGTCAAGATGGAGTTTTCATTGCCATCCAGTTAAAAAGCTGCAACTGAGAAATCAATGTGCTATTCTTTGCTTCATCTGCATCTCTGTGACATGTCATTGTGAATTAATGTGCCAATGATACAATAATCACTCTTTTTCAGATCTACTTCTCCAAAAGCAGACCCACATACTTGTCAAATGTTTATGAAATTAGGGTTTCAACCAGGACAAATCTGGACTAGAGACTTGCAATATAAATTTTTTAGGATATTTCCAATAACCCATTTAATTAGGATTAAGCATTTTTATTCACATCATCAGTGTTTGCCCAACCATCCAGCACCTGATGACTTTTCTGTTCTTCAGTTGTGATGGTAATTGTCAACCCACATGTCTCTCTCTCTTGCAAATATAATTCATATTGAGAGAGAGAGAGAGAGAGAGGGGCTTGATACATGTATCACTATTAGTCACACAGCGTAGCAAGTGGATAAAAAGTTGACTTGGTATATAAATATAAGGATTTGGTGTATACAATATCAGTAAATTCAGATTAAATATTTTAGATCATAATGCCTCGGGAGACTAAAGCTACTACTTTTCTTGCATAAGAGGGGCACTGCAATCAATATCAGCAAATAATGCATACTTGAAAGAGGCAGCACCATCCAGTTCCAAAAACAATATACACCACTTCGATGCACATGATTCTGTCTCTGTTCACAAACTTCCAGCTAAACACCTAATCCAAAATGGTTTGCAATAGAGTTAGGAAAACCCATGGCTATTTGCCATAACTTGCAAGAAATCTCCCAATAGTACATAATATAGAAATACATGTCACTGTGATACATACAGATGTCTTTCTGGTGTCCACTTATTTGTTTATTTTGAGGGAATTTGTTTGTGCATTCTGACATCACTGATACATAATCATTTCTGATCCTTGATGTGTCCTCTAGTGGTTTAGACATAAAAAATTCAGTCCATTTCCCAAGTCAATTAATTCACAGTCTGATCACCTAAATTAGGCACTTGTTTCCTGAAGAAAATATTTTATTTCATTTGAGCACTTCTTAGTTCATAGCAGGTTAAGTAATTACATCTGTCCTGCTCAAGGTCTTGATAGCTTCAGGAATGAGCTTTACATGTTTATTAGGCATTTAAAGCATTAAAAGAAAGTGGTTTGTAATGCAGTCACATACTACAATCTTCTTCTGTTATCAGCCTCTTGATCTTAATTGCTTACAACTTTCAAATTCTAATGTTCTTCAGCTGTCCTTTAGTTACTTCCACTCAGCATACATATATATATATATATATATATATATATATATATATATATATTATATGAGATAATAATTTTAAATACGAAACGATATGCCGATCGGGTTTTGATCAATCAGATTTTTCATTCGATAAAGATCAGTATTGAATGATTTGTTGATAATATACCTAGATTTAAAGAAACTATGGTTTCCATAAAATTGAGCAACAGGAGGAACAGATGGACTAAGGTCATTTTGATTGGGTAAGTTTGACACTTGGTTAGCTATATTTAACATCTTTTCAGTACCCTGCTATATCTTCATTTTTCAACGGGAAAATTATATCATCTGTCACTTGTTTATTTGTTTTGGGGTGTCATCAACATAGATTATAACTATTCAAACATATCCAAGTTCTACTTCATGTTTACCAGATGATTCTTCATGCATCGTTTAAGCTGCATCAAATAAGCTGATGGTACTTTTGATTGCCTTGCTGCTTTTTCCTGCAAAAGAAATCCATAACTATTATTAACACAAGGGTGTAGTAGATGATTGCAAAATCATATGCAGTGTGTAAACAATGCAACTAAAGAACCTCAGTGGGTATACAAATTTGTGCTATATGTGTACTTGCTTCCTTTCAGAATGCTTCAGCCATCCTTTATGAGCTTTATATAGATTGAATGTTTACAAATAAGTATTTCCACCTAAATTTCTTAAGAAATTATGAGTATTTCCAATTAAATAGAGAACAGAAAATTTATTGAAAAAAAATAAGGTAAAAATTAATAAAGAAAGGGAAGAGCAATGCAAAATGAGAACAATTTTATCTCAAACAAACAAAAATACATGAAGGAAGGACTCTGAAGAATTATTATTATTATATATGTTTACCTAATTTGTGATCAATCATATGTATTTTTCTTTCTTTCATGTGCATTGCACAGGATTTTAGCTTATAATAATGGATTCCTCAAGAGAATGATTTATAATGTTTCAAGTTACTAACTCTCTTTTAACAACTTAAAACACAACCCCATCTTCATAAAACTTTCTATAACATGTGCAGCACACACACTATCCATGTTCCAAAATGAGAAAAATATTGTAAGAGATTATGGCCATTTAAGCTGCTTTCTGGGCTCCAGAAAACACTGAAAGAAACCCTAAAAGTTGGTCATCACATAATCCAAACACATCCTTCTCTTGCTTTCTTTATTGTATGAAGTTGGTAGAAGATCTTGTCAAGTGGCTTTTGGAAGAGCTTTAGAACAATTTGATTTATACCCATTGTTGTCCCTTTTGCCAATTATGCTTCTCATGGAACACGACTTAATTGCACCAATCTAGTTCATTGCATGCAGCATTATTTCATGGGATTTCTGTTCCCAAGGTTGGAGGTGATGGTGAAATGGTGATCTCAGAGATGAGGAACCTTCATCTCTTTGTTAATAATAAAAAATTGGTAGCTGATTTGTTTGAGAAAACCAATAAAATCTTAGTAGCCCAATTTGCTTAAGGAACCAACAAAATTATATGAGAAAATGAGAACAAAAGATTAGAGAAGAAACCTGGAAGCCAAGGCTATCTATCATGACTCTGCAGATAGCGGCCAAGGAAATTGAGATTGTTTCATGGCTGACCATAATCATCCATTCAATTTATAAGCCAAACATTATCTTGATTGAGGAATAAAGGATACTGGTGAATAGACTATCAATTATCAAACGCAAACAAAAATACAGGTTAGGAACACACAGAGGACCCAGTGAAGTGATATATCTACAAAAAATTGTTCATTATCATAGCAAATTTATTTCTCAAATCGTTGTAAGTAACATCTTGAAAGATAAGCAGCATGGGAAAGATAGTCTGGATAGATTATTTGGCCTTGCATACCCTCTTAGCCATGACCAACGCAACAACTGATTGGAAGTAAGAAATCATAGGCAGTAAATTTAATATCCACACAGAGAAATTTGTAGAATATAAGAAAAAATAAACATAAGTTATCATGATTATAACAACAATAATATTAAGTCATAATGTCCCAACTATTTGGGGCCGTCTATATGGATATTTTGATCTTTTTGTTTGAAATAAAAATATATAGTTCCTAAAAAAGATTTCTCAAGTCATTCTCTACCTCTCTTTGCAACACTAATACTAATTGTCTCACTTGTTCTAAATATAGCATTTATATATCTCTCTAGCATATGTCCACACAACCATAAACAATTCCTCCTCATTTTATCCTCTATAAGAGCTACATCTAATTGTTGACATATGAGAACTTTTTTTTCTCTATCTTTCCTAATAACTCTATATGTTTATTTCAATAGTTTAATCTCAACCACATAGATTCTTTACAAACGAATACTAGAAAGGAATATCCGAGACCAGAAACACATGGACCAAGCCTCCTAAAAGGAATACTAAGGTAGTTTTTAAATCCTCTGTTAAAAGCCACACATAGGACCTAAGATGCAACCACAGACAACTCTATATTTACCATTTATACCCTTGCGTCCCTTATAAATGAACAGTCCATGAAATTGTCTGTAGATGTGGCAAGCTACAACAGCATATAAGACTAAATGATGTTCTAAAATGGTCAACTTTGGAACTGATTAGAGTTGATTTGGATCCAATCAGGCTGTAAAATGTACAATGTCAAGAAATAACTTAATTGATTTGGTTGACTGCTGATCCACATATGATCAGGAGAACAGAGCTTCAGCTAAAGTGTCAACCTGTTTTTGTTGGATGCTAGAATCGTTGGTTTACATCCTGGCTTACCTCCATTGAATCAATACCTAATCTAGTTTTCTTTGGGTAATAATGAAGACTGCATCAGATTGATGTGAACCTCCCCATTTAAAAGTCCATTCAAGTTTAAGGCCATCATAAAAGAATTGTGCATATCAACCACAAAACAGATTGGTTAAACACACCAACCTCGGGGAAGCCAATAGCTTTGTGAATTAGCATTCAGAGGTATGCTTTTGACTTTCAGGTAAGTCTGCATGTAGTCTCAACTAAGCTTAATCATCCCAAAGTTGGGCAAAACTCCTCGGCCAAGCATATCATCAGTTAATTCAAGTGCATCTGCCACTCTTCTAATTTTGAGGAACGCCAAACACACTAATCAATTCGGTATCAAGTATCGTATCTGTGTCATACATCTAAATCTCCAATCGATATGAAGTTAGAGAACATCAAATTGTAGGTTCTGGAATCCGGCTAGCTTTTCCTAGCCCCTCAATTGCATGACAAAATGCCACACTACGTGGGTTCAAACCAGAAGCCATTGTCGATGTGCCGATAATATAATCTGCGCATCAAAGAATTAAAAGGGAGTTCTCCTTTCAGAACGAGAAACTTGCGAGCCAAAAGTGAGACATCCGACACAGACAACACAAAGAGGATATCTCGAGTCTCTGTATTACACTTAGCTTCAATGTCCTCAGACTTACCGAACTGCTGTAGAAACTCGGCGGGCCCTTTCCAGATTGGGTTCAGCGCCGGTATTGTTCATCCCGAGCAAGACTTCTTCCACAAAACCTCGAGGAACTTCCTACTTGGCAAAGGGCTTTCAACATCACAGTTCCATGCTTCAACACAGGATGTCACCTCGGCTGCTGCTGCGGCCCAATAGGAGAAGGAAACCATCGCGGCGTCGCTTACATGGCTCTTCGAGGGAACACCACGCGGCCATTTTGCATTTGTGTGGGCATCAATGTAATTACGGATCGACGAAAGGGCCATTGATCATATATCGAGTGGCCTTTTCGGTAACTTTACTGATGTGATGTCGACACATCGAGTGATTTCTTGACATAGTTGCTAAGCGATGAAAGGATCGCTCGACATCTATTACTCATTGAGCGACAAAAGGGTTATTATTCGAAGTGCATCAACTTTGACGTAGATACAAAGCGACTCTATCTCTCGTTGTGTTTCCTAATGACACTGTCATCTGCCACTACCAACTATAATATTAAAATTATCTTTTTTATCTTTTATTTTTATATGTTTATTTATAAAATCGATGATATTAGAATAAATGGATCTAAATATTTTATTTTCATAATTATAGGATTCTAATATAAATATTTTAAATTTAGGAATCGAAATGCTGATGAGGCCTTACTACAGGGAATATGTAATTAACCCATCCTAAGCCATACATTTGGCATAGACATTGGTGTGAAGTAGACTTGGATTAATAGAGAAAAAAAATTTCATAATATATACAATTATCAATATACCTGTGATCAACTCTTAGTCAAATTGATAAAATGTTTTTTTTACTTATAATATAATGTTTCATCTTTCAAATCATAAATTTACTTAGTTGTAGTATGCATGTCATACAATTTTATGGTTTTTCCGCTTTTTTTTTCAGATTAAAAAAAATAATACACATATAATAAGAGACAAAAGGCTTGAACACAGATGACACGCTTTGGTACAAGTGAAAGCATGCGAGCGAAAGTAGGCAGGGAAGGAGGAGGACGACCGGCACCTCTTTTTTCCGATATAGACTGTAAAGAATTCTGTCCCTTCTCACTCTGTCCCTTCCCTCGAGAAGTGAGAACGGGCCCAACGTCCCCCGTTCCCCGTCGCCTACCATTGACCACCGCAACCACACCCTTAGATTGTCACTACTAAGAAGACAGACAAAGGTGTTTAATATTCATTCCATGCTGCGTAAGATATATGGGCAAAAGAGGCTCCATTTCCTTATGATACACGTCGAGAGATTGAAGCCAACTCATGCGTACACTACCGGAAACGACCGAAATCAAAGCAAGCTGACGCAGTAGGCGGAAGAGGAACTCGAGTAACTGCAACTACATCGGTGGCTTGCGGACGCAGTATCTGTAGGCGGCCACCTTTCTTCTCCGGGAGTTGGTGTTGTCGATGGACAGCACCATTTTCCCTGCTTCCTTGGTGGTGAATGCGTCGTGGACCGCCTCCTCGGCGCCCGCCGGAATCCTCCTCGTCTTCTGCACGACGACCGTATAACTCCCCTCGTCGCTCGGCACGAACTCCGCGCCGTAGTCCACGTCCCACCCCCCGACGGCGACGTCCCATGCTATGGTTGCTCCTCCCTGACTCATCATTACACTACATTAAGATCTAAGCAAGGCATGCAACCATGGCGTTTGTGCGTGTCTGGATATACCTCGATGCCGTCGATTTCGAGGTTTACTTGTTCTCCGCCCTTGATGGCGAACTCGGTGGCCGGCTTGGGCGGACCGTTCTGCAGGTCCCCCGGCCGGCTCAGCCCCCCGTACTGCACCGGCACGAACTCCGGCCTTATGAACCTGTGGCAGGAGTTGGTGTCAGCATCGGCGAAAAGCAGTGAGGAGGAGCAGAGGAGGTTTGAGCGAATCACTTGTGGAGCGTCTCCGCCACATTGCCTTCTCGGGCGATCACGAACTTGCTCTTCGTCCTCTCCGTCAGAAACGGGCTTATCATCGCGTACAGCACGCTGAAGTACCAGGGGACGTTGATAAACACCTGCGGTTGATGGATGCATGGTTGAGAGGATGAAGCAGAGGAGAAGCAACGGGGAAGAAGACCAGCCGTGCCACCGACCTTTCTGGCGACCATCTCGGGGTAGTTGTCCTGGAAGAGGGAGAGGATGTGGTTGGAGGCAGCGCGGAGCTCGCGTTTGGGCATGTCCTTGAGGTCGGTGACCTGGATGATGGAGTTGACGCCGCCGGGGCGGAGGTGGAGCAGGCGGACGCCGCGCTCCATCACCTGGACGCGCCACCGGAGGAAGCGCTGCAGCTTGTCGGCGTCGCCCAGCACGCGCTCGTACACCGCGGCGTCCTTGAAGACGCCATAGGCGTTGTAGCACACGGGGTGGCCCCGCCGGTCCCAGCCATGCATGTACGCCACCACGCCCTCCACCTCCTTAAGCCCCACCATCTCCTCCTCCGCCACCCCGTCCGCGCCGAACTCCCGCCGCCACTCCGCGCACCGCAGCAGCATGGCGTGCGCCTCCCCCACGTCGAAGTCGCGGGCCCGCAGGAACTTGAGGAGCACCACGTCCGCCCGCTCGTCGGCAGCGGCAGGGGCGATCGGGACGCCCCACATGGAGATGGGTTTCGGGGAGGTGGAGAGCAGCTGCTTGAGCTCCTGCAGGGCCTTCTTCTCGGCGGGCTTGAGGCTGGAGGCGAGGTAGGAGTCCTCCTTGAAGGAAGAAGAGCGTTGCAGACCGGCAGCAGCCTCCATAAGCGAGCTGAGCAGGTTCCGCTTGGTGGCAGGTTTCGGAGAAGCGACGGCCTCTGCGGTTGCCTGACATGGCTCCATTCTGTGAGACGAGAGAAGGAAGAGAGAGAGAGAGAGAGAGACAGAGCTCACGACAACCAGGGTCTTCTTGGGCGTGGTATATCTGTAGGCTTAGAGCTAACTACTGCTACCGCTTACCACCACTTGAGCTTTTTACCCGGTTGTACTGGTGGAGTGTGTAAGAAGGAAGAGGGAAGAAGAAGAGGAGGTGGGGAAGTTGAATGGAATTGAATGGTAGCGGCAAAAGGGTTCAGACATTATGATGGTGGCGTGATGGAAGACTTTTAGCTTTTATGACCTTTTTTGGAGCGGCTCGATGGCCATGGCCGGCCCGTGAATAGTTTGATCTCCTCCGCCTTCTCTTTCCTCCTCTGCATTCACAAAGAAAGTACTTAAAGAACATTTTCAAATCCACATTGCTAAAACTGCTGATAAAAGACTAAATGCTACTTTGGCTAAAGCGAAAAATGGTGCTTTACCAGCAAAATAATATAATCATAGATGACAAGTTTCCTTCGCGATCGATCAACAACATTAACAAATGTGATCGAGTAAACAGTTGGTAATATTTTCTTCTTCATCGAGCTACGATGCTTGTCTTCTCCTCCAATAGATCTATTTTGCTTAATCTACCACAAGATCTTTGAAATCTCAGTAGAATATATATGTTTCTTTTGATGCTAAGGTACAATAGAAGTAGTTGCACAAGGAAACAAGAAGACTGGGTGGGTGGGTCTTGGACGGGTGAATTGGACTGACCTTGGCAATGGCAAAGTGAGCTGATGGACCACCGGACTGCAGGACTTTGTGCGTCAGAAGAAGTCTCTTTTGCTGGCAGAACACAGGAAATCCAACACGGGCAGAGTGAGACACACAGAGAGAGCGGGGAAGGAAAGAGCTGAGACTGCACATGGGAAGTGGTACGTACCTGCAATGGCAGTGGTGCAGTGGGAGGCAGCATCGCAAGGCACCGCTTGCTTTAAGAAGGCACCGCATGATATAAATCAGACGGTGGACAGGAGATCAACCTGATGGTACACCGCTCGTCCTGTGACCTCCTCCCCCCCCTTTATTACTTGCTTTATACAGGGAAAGGGAAAGGGAAAGGGAAAGCAGGATGGAGACAGCACGAGCACTACGTGCTGCTTCGGGAAGAGGAATACCACTGTATTATGTTCATCATTAAACCACACCAAGTCACACGATGCTTTAGAGGGAGGCAACGACATGCCATCCATTAAAGGAGAGTATAGAATAGGAAAAGGACTTGTCCTTGTTCGAGGCCTCACTGACTCTGAAGCTTATCATAATAGCAATAAAGCAATAAATTGTTTGTTGCATTTGCTTTTCATTAGAGTGATGCTAACTTCAAGTTGATCAACACTATTTCTAACTTATGGTATAATTCCAAGGAGTTACAATCTATGCTACCATGATTACTGTATCAAGTGATTGGTAGTTTATATACCATCTAGTATTATCATATGGTGGAATCCTGCTACAAACAATGTTCTGTACACTTGTTTTCTACAGCTAATTTCTGACACAGTACACTTGTCAGACAAACATTGACTACATTGAAGACCACACACACACACACACACACAGTGATGCTAAGTAGATTTTGAACATGAAAGGAATAGATTACATGGTATGCATCAGTAGTTTAGGCAATGAATCAAATTTGGACATACTAGAAAAATGCGACATTGGTTCCACAAGTCAGTATGAGAACCTATAGCATCCAGGCTTAGCAATTCAAATCAAAGATGATAGCATCAGTGACAGTCATAAATAGAAATCTATTATCATCATACCTCAGATAACCTAATACGAGCGAATTGAAGAATCCCCTTGCAACTCTCCTCCATAATTATAAGAATTCAGCTGGAAGTTACCCCAAAATACAATAAAGGAAAGACTACATGTTGATGATGATATATGGCAAAAGTTCATGTCATGCTATCATCCCAAGGAACTTATAGCTGTCAACTGTAATGAAATGAATCAGAAGGCATATATATGCCAATCAATATTTAGTTATAGAAACTGCTAACTAAAATTTTGCTTTGATGCTAAGAGGCATAGTGAAAACTCCTACCTACTTTGAAGCTCAATTACCTCACACTGCATCAGAACCTAAGCATGTCACACACACACATCATAGATAAAATGCAGGTACTGTTTTTTAGGAAATAAATAACAAATGCAATGCCAAGTACCAATTACATGCCACAGATTGGATACTAAAGCACAACTACAATCTTCACCTCTACTGTCAGTTCACTAGTGGCTAATATTCACAATATGAAGATTCATCAAGTCACTTAAATCGATATATGTATGATAATACATTGTTATCATAGAAGAATTGCAAACAGTTTAATAATCTTGTGGCTAATATTCACAATATGTTACACAAAGACTGCTTTGACAAGTGAACTGTCTCTAACAAAGGTACAAGCACATATGTATTGCACGTAGTCAAATATTTCGATCAAGTTAAATATCCTACATGATTTAAGACACTTGAGATTTGATAAGCCTCAACGTGACCAGAAGACTCCTTTGATAAGCACATGTTATGCACATAGTCAAATGTTTTGACTCTGCTAAATACCCTCAACATCTCATCAAAGCTCTCACTCTCAATACTTCAATCCAATGTTTCCTTGAAATCCATTCATTATCTTAAAGAACAAGTCAAGATACTAATGAACTCTGCAGTTTGAGACAATACCTATAGATTTGTATCTTATGTTTGGTGCAAATGCCATCTGTGGATGTGGATCGAAGAAAAAAGCATGAAGGGGTTACAATGGAATAAAAGAGAAACACTGTCTCCCTCTTCTCTTGATGCTCAGCGGCATCAAATATTGATCATGGTGTCTGGTTCCCATACGAAGTAGATGCATAAAAAAACAAGACAAATAAGTCTTTTTAGGTTGCAAGTCCTCTTTGTTCCTTACATTCTATTTCTTGTTTGTTCTTCTCTATGCTTCTCCTTTTGTCCTCACTATGATCTCTACCTTCTGAGCCGAACTTCCTACTTGTGCTACTTTGACAGCAGGCATACTGCTGTTTGCTGCAGGCAATGTTGGCAGCCCTTAATTTGTTCTTAACTCTTTCACCCAGGTGTACATCCTGAATGAACAATGGGTTGAACCAATACACTTAGCTTGTTTTGGGATTAGAAAAATTTCTAAAACTAGTTCATTCATGGAGCTACCTGATTAGCAACATAGATAAGCTCCTTCCCCTACTCGAGGATGCGACTGAATGTGTTCCCAGCATTAATGGGATACAAGTTGAAGTCTGGAAAACTTTTCATGGATAAATCATGAAATCAAATCAAAGTATGATTGCATGCACACCTACCAATCAGGATAGCAGATCCATGATAGAAAACTGAGAGGGTAATAAGTCGATAATCGAATGTAACACTGGTTCAAAAGGCCCAATTAGAGGTTACATCTGCATTTTTCTAAAGCATTTAGGCCAACATTTAGCTAAATCATTTTCTTCAAGAATATTAATGAATCATAACAATGATAATAACATATAGTCTTTAGCCATTCAATGGACAAATAATCAACCACACTCAGTGCAAATATCCGAAGGACACTAATAAAATTTCTTACATATGTTCCACAAAGATGCATTAATCATAGAGAAAAGTAAGGCTCTGTTTGGAGAGAAGAGAAAAGATAGGTTCGTTATATTTCTATCTTTCTCTCCAAAACCCTCCACTTGTACAGAGAGAATAGGGAGTTTGAAGTGACGTTTGTATCCTCCGTTCCTCTCCACTCTCCCAAAATTTGTATGCAAACAAGAGCAAGTATTTTTTTCTTCTCCACTTGTTAAATTACTAAAACCAAATGACAGAAAGTATTCTCCACACTTCTCTCCATCGAGAAAAACCATAAATCATCATGTGCAGATCCTCTCATCTACTGTTATCAGTATATCCAAATTCATAAGCATAAAAAAGATAAAGCATAACATTTGCTACCAAATAACAATCGAGAAGCAGAATTTACTTGACAACCAGAACACAACAGATATTTTTCATAAATCATGGCAATGATTAAAGTAATACTCATAGTGCAAGAAAATATATTACTTTAAGGAAAAATCCTCATGAACTGAAAGTGACAATCAATCAACACATAATAGCATTTTAAGCAGAAGAGTTTGGACCAAAGATGAAGTGCATGCTTAAGGACTGTTTAGATGTAGCAGCTTTGATCAAAGCAAAAACTTTTAGGATTGTACTACAAAAGCTGGCATACTCGCTACAGTCTTCCACCAAAGCAGCTATAGTTTCTCCATTCTGCATGGTACTAGATGTAGACTGAGATGCTTGATAAAACATTAAAGCCATAAAAGAAAAATATCTAACCAATAGTAGGTAATATAAAGGGATAAAAGCTTATAAGAAAGAAGCTTGCTTTTCCGCCATCAAAGACACATAATATACCATGTTCTGTAAAGTGTTTCAAAATGTAACTTGTATTTTACAAAATCAGAGTTATCAACCTATATACAACATCAGAATGTCCATGACATAGTTTTTCTCTTTTTGTGAAAGCTAGGATACAACAGAGCTTGCCTTGGACCCTGATGGATTTAAGAATTTGTCAACTTCAACTGTACCACAACATAACTAACTGCAATGTTTGTCAATTCAAATATCTGTTTTCATCCATTTTTTTTCTCTTCCAGGCGTCTACAAATCTCTTGAGTGAACAATGACTTTCGGTAGAAATTACATACTGATTTCAAAATTTCTTCTTTTTATTTCACAATGCAATCTCAACCAACAAATAAACAAGGTTAAACTTGCCTAGCAAAGATGCATGTGTCTCATTTCTATGGATCCAGTTTAAAATATATAATCGAACAAAGGTCGTGTAAGCTAAGATGGAAGCCAAGTGCTGCCAAGAAGACAAAGAAAGGATTGA